GAGCCGTGTGAGACACTTTTTTTTTTTATGGATGGGCGCTTTTTATTTAACTTCTTTTGGACTGATGCATGCAACACCCGCTGAGTGGCATTAAACAGCTTGAAATATCAAAGACAATTTTTAATACAACTCCGACTGGATTCATCTGAAAGAAGAAAGTCATATACACCTAGGATGACTTGAGGGTGAGTAATTTGTGGGCTAATTTTCATTTTTGGGTGAACTAACCCTTTAACATAGCAGCTATGTTTATGCCACTGGTTTGTAGTGAGAGTAAATGTCTGCTTGAGATTTATTTTTTTGGCCCCTGTTTACAACATTACAAGACCTTGCAGGTTGTCAACCAGGGGAGGGTAAAATAGAGGCAAGCAGGGTGTCACCGGCCCAGGCCTTAAATAATGAACGATTACTCCCATCAGAGAAGTGACGTGATGTTCAGTTAGCCTCTCCTGTTGAATGATCACTTGTCATCTTCCCGATGGATGTGCAAAATTAATATACCTATATCCAAAGCAGGTTGAGACAGCTACCTGCCCAATACACCATGCCTGGAGAGACCCCACACATACACCCTCATACACCCTCATTTAAAGATCATCTTCTTTTTCTCTCTCAATCTGTCCATCCCTTTCTTTCTCTCTCTTACCCCCTTTCATTTTTGCTCTTTTTTTTCTCCCTGGGCCTCACACACAAACACACACATTCACACATCTCAGTCTTAGTTAATGAAGTAATGGATATTCACCCTATGTGACAGTTTGGCCGCTAGCGGCAGCACCCTTGTTAGGAAATTAAAAAGCTCGTCAACTTGTGTTTACCACTCAGCAGGAGAGCCTGTTGTTATTTCCCCCAGGAAGCGCTCTTCTCTTGTCTTGAATACTGGGTCTAGAGTGTACAGACGTGCAGTCTGACCTAAGGGAACATCCTCCCACACGTAAATCTCCATCACCCAGGGCCAGACTGATCTCAGAACAGTTACAGGCCCAATTAACTAAAACCCAGCTGATCTTAGAACAAGCATATATGTGTCACACGAGGCCAGGCTGATCTCAGAACAGTTCCACAACATATATGAAATAAAACAATGTAAAAATCATACTAGAGCACATGATCAAAAATAAATGTGTTTTTTTTTTACATTTCTATTTAGAAAGTTTTACACTGACTCTGAGCGACAGATGCAGTGTCACGAAATGTTGTTATTGTCATTTGGTGTTCTTCAGTTTTTTTTTTGTTTTTTTTGGCTTTCCACAAAAATCAGGTGTAACTTTCAAGCATCCAATACACTGTTGCACTAAAAAAACAAAAAACAAAAAAAAACCTTTTTTTAGTATTTAATATTCTGAAAGGTCTTACAAATTAAATTTTTTTTTTATTCCCATTCCATCCCATGCTGTTAAAACCTCTTTTAACCACTAAATTTGATAATAGAAATTCATATTTATAGTCTAATGTTAAATATATTATTAAAATGATATACAAATATATTATAATATTATTTTGATGTCTTAATGTAATGAAAGTCGTGACAAAGCTTTCCTTCCTTTTTCTTTTCTTCTATTTGACATGCGTCAGGAGAGTCTGCCATTGACTTGTGTATATATATATATATATATATGTGTGTGTGTGTGTGTGTGTGTGTTTATGAATATATTTATTATTAATTGTTATTTTTTAAATTTGCATTACATCTAAAAAATGTCAAATTTCAATTTCTGCTACATGCTGTGAAAAAGTAAAAAAAATCTCTACTGTAATTTAAAGATTGACATTGACAAGGTGAAGTTTATTATTTACATGTTTTCAGCCTCGGAAAACTACATTTTCAAGTGTACTTCACTATCACTCCTTTCGGTACATATCCCCCCCCCCCCCTTACTGTTAGGGATTGTTGCATTTTTTAATGAAAATTCAGGCTGTGGAGTGACTGAGACAAAAACAGCAAGAAGAGAAATAGGCAGCGAGTGACAGAAACTTGTCGGCTCTGGTGTTGAAGGCTCCGTGGCAAGCCAGAGCAAGAAATCTATTATTATCTGTCCTGTCTGCGCATTAATGTTTAACAAGTCCAGCGAAGTGACACGCCGCCGCAGCAGCGTAATTGCTAATCAGCGGACAGTTTTATTTCCTTCTTGCCTAATGAATTTGGCTGAAATTTGGTGTGGGCGGCCGGACCCTTAAATGGGCAGTCAGCCGCCACTGATGTGCGTAGGAGAGGAAGGTTAGTGCTCGTGTCATAGTGCTAATGTGCTCGCTAACACTCGAAGGCCAATTTGCATGTGTAGCTAGCTCACAGTGCGTTTTTTTCCCTCGCTCTCCTCAAAGTATGCAAATAAACTTTCTGTTCACTTGAGTACAAAATAATTGAGTGTTTTGTGTGTGTGTGTGTGTGTGTGTGTGAAAATTGGGAGATACTTTATGAACCACAGACAGTTTTAACCCTCTCTCACACTATAAAGCATTTTATAAACAATTTTTCAGACCATGATGCTGTGTTGTTCACAATAATTATGAGAGACAATAATAAATGAATACTGTTAATATTCGGTAATGATGAATAAACTGTGTATTTCTGTCTTTGTGTATCAGGGCATGTTGCTGAAAAGAAGCGGCAAGTCACTGAACAAAGAGTGGAAGAAGAAATATGTCACACTTTGTGACAACGGAGTCCTCACATATCATCCTAGTCTGCATGTGAGTACCAACACACACACACACACACACACCGCCAGTACACCTGTATTGTATTTGCCTTTCTCCTCATCTTATTGGTCCTGCCCTGTTAATGTTGTTATTATTCTCTGTTCACCCGTCACTCTAACATCCAGGTTTTTTTATGTTCTTTTCACTGACGTTTAACGGATTATTGTGTCCGCCTCAGTAAGCATGGTGTCTGATGACACTGTCTTGTCCATAATTACCGACTCATCTGTTTGCACACGGCTGACACGGTTGATGTGTAATATAACGCTGTAATGGCTTGTCATAATCATCAACTCGGATGACCTGTTTGCCCACACACCAATGGAAATGGCCATCTTTTATTGGTTGTTTTCCCTCTCTGGATTTTTTTTTTGGAGTGTAATCAGACCTAGGGCTGTTGCGATAACCGCAATATTGTAATACCGCGCTATTGACGAGCCAACCGCAGAGGAAGGAAAGCAACCGCAGCAACCGCAGTGTTCACGTTTTTTTTTTTTTTTTTTTTTAGGCGTGGCCGCCTTGTTTTACAATGAATCACTGTGCATTGAATATTAAATAAATTAATAATGATACAAGAGTGTTACGAGTGTCATTTTCCCGCGAACTGTTTGTATCCGGGGTTTCGTTTACGGATCTGCTGTCTGGCGAGAGCTACGTTACAGTGTCTTCAGTCAAACCCGCCCTGAAACTCCTGACAGAAGATATGCTTAAACCATTAAATGAGGATACCACATTAACATCGGACATAAAGCACAAAATGTGCAGTGTTCTACAGGGGAAGTATGAACCAGCTGCCTTACGCATATCGCGCTATTGAGCCACCCATAATAACCACAAGGTAAATTTCCTAACCGCGACAGCCCTAATCAGACCTTATTGTTAGTGCTAACCAATTCCAAAGTGCGTTTGGCATCTCGAATGCAGATGAAAGATACTGTCTAGAATAAATGGATAAAGATATGGATAGCATGTAGTCAGACCTTGCACTCTGAACAAGAACAAGGCAGTTTTATGATTTAAATGAACAAATCTGCAATATGTCCATGCAAAAACTTTGCATTATATTATTTTTATCTCATGCTCTCTACAACCAATAATTCACCACACAAAACACATTATAGTGAGGGTATGGCTTTAGAGTTTTTTGTTCATTTACTGAATTTTGTAAATGTTCTGTCATTTTGATAGATAGATAGATATACATACCACAGTGTCTGTTCTCTTTTTCACATTATGAAAGCAAAAAAATAGTAAATATCTTATTAAAAATACCAAGTGTTACAACTAAACTTAACTTTAGTAAACAATGAAATGGTAACTTCTTAAGTGTATTATAGATTTTGACTTAAAATTGAAAATGTTTTCACAATTGAATCAGTAAATAGATAACCAGTCATCACTGATTTTAGTTTTACTGTAAATATCTGGTCATTTCTGTTGTAGCCTGTATTTTGTCACGTTCAGGCCAGTATAGGCCTAAATTAGTTTATTGGTATAAATTAGATATAGACCAAAATGATAATGTCTAAATTGTTGTTGCTGCTGTAGTATATATTATATTATTTATTATAGATTTACTTATTAAAGGGATTTTTCATTTACTCATCCTCATGTGTAGTGCAGATGTTTTCTGATGTTAATCAGCATTTTCAAGCTTCAAAAAGTACATAAAAACAGCCAAAACAAGTAATCCATATGAATCGAGTGGTCCGGATGGACAAAAAATGGACAGAAATGATGATAGACTTGTTTTGGCTGTTTTTATGTACTTTTTGAAGCTTGAAAATGCTGATTAAATAGATTTTCAGAAGAATTTTTCAACTTTTTAAAGTAAAGTTATTTTATTTATTGTTTGGGGATGAGAAAAAAAAAATCACAATTTGTAACCAAAAATGGATATGGTAGATAAGATATGGGAAGTGTCTTTTTCCCCTCTGTTTTTAAAAGTTTGCTTAATTATATGGTCAACTACATTTTTTTTCTTATATTTAGGTTTTCTGTTATCTGAACCCTTTCAGACCCATCACTGGGTTAGATGCCCTCCTGACACATTGACAGATTTTAGTCCAGCCAGCTCATCTGGGTGAATTAAAGGAAGTGTGCGTCATGATGTATGGTCCCCCTCCTCCCTTTGGCTGTGAACAGGTTCCTCTCATCAGCAGGTGTCTGCTACACAGGCATCAATTAGAATGTTTGCGGAGGCTAATAGGATGAAACTCAATCAGGGCTCTTAATTGCTCAACTATGTGAAAAAGAAATCACATTAATGCAGCTGATTAAGTGGATGGCAATAGATGCAACCTAATTAGTGAGGAAAAAATCCCAAATAAATCATCCATGTTCACATCCATTACAACCACGCCACAACTTTATGTAATCTTTTTTTGGGGCACATAACTATTGTGCGTTTCATTAAACTTACACTTTTTTGTTAAACATTACGTGATTATGATTTAGCACAGCGCGATTTGATAGATTCATCGATGTGGAGCATCAATTTTAAATGCACGTCTGCCCCTGAAGTGGCCAGATGATGATCTTTTCATCAACTGTTCACATTTGAGCACTCAACTCCCTTAACTAAATCCCTCAAGTGGTTTGCTCGTCCTTTATTTTAAATCAAGAGTTACATATGGACCAGTCCCCGGAGTGTATGTCCTTCCTGAAACGCAATAACATATGTTCTTCAATAGAGCAGCTTCGTGGAGTCTTTCGCCTTAATGAGCAGGAGCAAGGCTTTGAGAGGGAGAGCGTACCACCCGGAACTGCCATACATCAGCTGAGTGCCAATCAAACAACACAAAGACCTGAGAATCTCTGTGTATAGTCTGTGTAAAGCAAGAGCATAACGTGTCCATCCCTCACTAGAGGCCAACAAAAGGGCAATTCAAAGCCAAGAGCTCTCAACACGGTTTAACAAGCCACAGGAGAGCCCTTCAGGAGTGGCGGGCCAACAGCTTGCGGCTGGTAATTGCATCCCTATTAGCATTGAGTAACTTTCATCATCAATGCAAGCAAAGCCACGCGCAAATCCAGACAACGGAGTCAGAAGCCAAACACACGCTGCGATGGCATGCTGTGATCCGCAGAAGAGGAAAAAGAAGCTCAGAAGAAGAAGAAGAAGTGATCTAAACGGCTGATTTTCTGCACTTCACTGTGAATATCAAATACATTAATATTGATTTCTTCACCTCCAGAGGGTGGACAGAATTAACTGTGTGCTGACAAAATAAATTTAGTAGACACTTTTCATCCAGAGTGTCCAATGCTGTTGTAGTAATCCTTTTGTCATTTTTACTAAAGGATTATATGCAGAATGTTCATGGGAAGGAGATCGACCTGCTTCGGACTACAGTGAAGGTTCCAGGGAAGAGGCCCCCCAGGGCCATCTCCACATGTGCGGCCCCCAGTCCCAAAACCAATGGGCTGACCAAGGACATGAGTAACCTGCAGCTTGGACAGACACTTACTTTGCTTTGTTTTATGTATTTTGTATTAAATAAAATCGGATAATAATGTAAAATAATATAACAATTTTTTTTTTCTTAATTATGTAATATAATATATCAAAATTACATAATAATAATATAAATTATGAAGTGTAATTTTCATTTTTATTTTATGTAATAAAATACATACTGTTCATCCATCCAGGGTGTTCCCTGCCTATGGCCTGAGAAAATAGCCTCCAACATATCTGTGACCACACACTGGACAAAGTGGTTTGGCAAATGAATGAATGGATAATACAATATATTTAATTTAGTATAAATTAAAGTAATTAATTATAATACTTAATACATATTAGAAATAATACAAAACATTTCCTTACATTATTTTAGCAAGTTCTTTCCAAGAAAACAAATGTATTATAAAAGTATCTTAATGTCAATATAATAGGCCTAAGAAGCGGTCTTCATTAGTAGAGAATTAAACAATTAAGTTATTGTTTAGTTATTCGTGTAACACTCATTGGATCAACAATCCTTAAGCCCCCCAAGGAGTGTTAAAGACCCTTCTTGGGTGCACACACACACAGCACCAGGAGGACCAAACTAATAGCATGAATATTCAGTGACCCATAATACATGTACTAATTATTGTCATGAATATTAATGCAATCAGCGCTCGTTCTCCAGTCAGGCAAGTCCGAAATGAGCACTAATGAGAGGGAGAGAGAGAATGAGGGAAGGAGGGAGGGAGCGGTAGAGTAGAAAAGAGAGATAATTCACAGTGGTAAGGCAGTGAAGCTTTTGTGAGTCGAGTATTTGACTGTAGGGCTGGGTCAGCGGCGTGATCACATGCACCTCTTATTCCTTTGGTCTTAACATCTCTTTTTTTGAGAGCTCCAATTATGCACCAAATCCATTATAGCATATCTTCACACACTGCTGTTCTTGTGTGTGTGTGTGTGCGTAGACCCTTCTCTGCCCTCATACATACATAGTGTTTATTTTCCTCCAGACGACCACTGATGTAAAAATGTAGTTTATCAGGGCTGTCCTGAAGTATGATCAGCTTTTGCCATTTACCCAAAGGTGCTGCCGTCTGATTTATCCGCTACAATGGAGATTAAATTGAGTCGTGACATTTCATTCAGTCGAGTTTGCAACGGTCCAGTGGAGGCCTGTGGGTACACCTTTTTGCAACAATAACAACATATTAAAAAACGGAAAGTATTTACTGAACCCCTTTTTTTTCTTTCTTTTTTTCTGTGTGTGTGTGACTGTAGCTAGAGCAAGCGGTATCATCAAATCAGTGTTATTTACATTTTGTTCACTGCTATTGGACAAACTGTTAAAAAAGTTAGATTTGTTCTGTTCGTAAGCCCAGAAGCCTTATGGTTGTTAGTGTTTGAGTCTGTATGTGCGCGTCATATCATATCCCTCCCACGTTCTTTTCTGCTCAGCTGTGGTGAAATCTTACTAGTGCGATTAAATGCGACTTCCTATGATGTCCACTTTAATTTCCATGTGAGTCAGACGAACCTCTTCTGCAGTTTAATGATGCCTCACGGTGGTGATAATTAACCTTCGAGTAATCTGATGTCACTATTTATGCTCATCGATGACAACAAATCAAGAAGTTTTGTGCATGAGTGCTAGTTACACTTATTAGTATTATCATTAACAAAAAGTATTGCGAAGACGACACCTAGAAGTCAAAAAATTAGGGATGCATTAATATAAAAATTTTGGTCAATATCAGTAAGTTGATAATCATTCTCTTGTTGGGGATGGTATTAAAATGGCATACTGTCTTGTCTAAATAAATTAAAGCGCTAAAAATTTAATTATTTTAAATGCTACAAATGACATGCATCACAACAATATACAGTATAATATATATATATATATATATATATATTTTTTAGATTTGCTACATATTACATTTAACAGGTTAGTTCACCCCGAAATGAAAAAAATTATCATTTACTTATGATTTTGAAATGACATGAAGCTAAGATTTTCATACATTTTTCGAATACAAATGGAGATTTTTTTTTATATTCTCTCATCCATTCATTGAAAGTCCAAGTAGCCACAATTGTAAGCTTCAAAAAGTTCATAAAGACATTATAAAAGTAATCTAATCTACAGTAAACTGTTTAAACTAAGTCTTCTGAAGAGACACAATCACTTTATATGATCACATTTATTCTAGGCTTTTATTGACAGAATATACACATTGACATGACAGAACTAGCCCCTTACTGAATTATTCATAATTTTTTTAAATATAAACTTTGATTATGATTACAAAGGTAATCTAAATGTAATTTTTTTTTTAAATGACCATACATTATTAAATAACTGACCAATACTGCTTAAAAAATACGAATTCTAATATTGGCTGATAACCAGTATACTGCCAATACATTGTACATGTTGTAAAAATATATTTATTAACATTATAAAAACTCGAGTTTGCAAGAAAACAAAAACAAAACTACACTCTAAATGTACACCATAATGCAAACAAAAACTATATGGCATTACAGATGACAAGAACAAATCAGGAAATTTGTTGCATTGGGTATATCATATTAACGGTGTATTAATTATCATGCGTCTCTCCCGCAGGCTCTGTGACAAGTAGTTCTTCTGCGTCTCAGATGGCGAGTGGCATCAGTCTGGTGTCGTTTAACAGTCGGCCAGATGGGATGCATCAGCGCTCATACTCTGTGTCCAGCGCTGACCAATGGAGTGATGCCACAGTCATTGCCAACTCAGGAATCAGCACAGGTAAGTGTAGAGCGCATTACCATGTGCAGCCCCCTCAAACTGCTTTGGGGGGTTTGCTTGTCATCATCTTGGTGGAAGGTTTTTCTTAAACAGTGATTTGTTATCCTATAGTTGTAAACACGCACATACACCCACCCCACCTTTCATTGATCCATGTGTCAAGCTCTAATGCTGCTTTAACTGTTTATCAAAGTAATGGCCACTCAGGAGAACCACATTACCAAAGGCTCATCTGTCGACGACGAGTCACTAGCAGAAGAGAAATGTTTGGAGCATGATGTTTATCAGTCTGCCACCTTTTTGTTGTCAGAGAATTTCATACTTGGCTATTTTTATGAAATCTTTCATGTCTAAACAGCCACAAGGGGAAATGGGCATTTACACAGACGTCACTATTGGACTGACAGCTGTCAGGCACAATGTTTTTATGTGTGCTGATGAACTGCAGTGACATGGTGTGACTAGTTTTAGGCCTGCCGTTTGACCCCTGCATGTAGTTGTCTCTGTGTTTACCCCTGATAACAATTAAAGCTGTGAAACACTTAAACGGACTCCTGGGCATTTCCACAGCAGGGCTCTACACGCACACAGCTGAGCCACAGACCCCATACATGACTTCAACAGTACATCTTTAGTACATTATTCTAATTCTTAATTCACTAGTATAGCTATAAACTGTTTAATAGTCTAGATTCAGTAAGACTTGGTAAGTAGAACGTGCTGTTTGTATACCTATTCCTTTGCGTGGAATAAAAAATGTTTGAGTTGTTTTATAGTGCAGCAAAAAAAAATTTTTTTTTAAAAAGGCTCGGCGGTGAAACAGTTCTTCTGGTATGCAACACTGTGTACATTATCTGTAGAGTGTGTAAAGGGCCTTGCAATTGCTACTGTGCCTTTAAGACTTCTATGTAAATTCCCTTTTCACATTTGTAAACTTTTGGTTTGCTGAAAGGTTTGCCCTATCCGTAAACAGCCTCTTTGCTGAGGCCACATTACATTTGTATACAAAACAATCTGTACTTAATCTGTACTGAAATGTAGCAGTTTTGGAAGAATATGCAGAGCTGGAGGTGCTACACACCAAGAGAGGGCACTACAAGATGAACAAAAACTAAACGGAATTAGAAATAAAATAAGTCATCATTTCAAAAAACAAACAAAAATTATTTATTCACCATAAAAACTAACGAATTGAAACCTAAACTGAAAAGTTACACAAAATTAAATAAAGATAAAAATATGTGGATAGATAACCTCTCTTAAACAGTAAGTATATGAAGAATTCTCTGTATGTGTCAATGTGTGTATCAGTGACTTCAGCATTAAAACAAAATGGAGTTGGTGGGAGAATCCATAAGTGGCCCCTGCTTCAGTGATATTCCGGATGGTTGTTCGGACACTGCGGCACTCCAGAGGGCTGTGTTATGAGGTTGCATGAGTGCTTGTATGCTTCCCCCCCCAGGAAATTCTTAAAAATAACCTTTCTGCTGGCCTAATGATGTCTGTCCACGGTCTGACTGAACAGATCTGATGGCTGCCTGGATGACGGTAGTGCCGGACGCTGATTGCTTGTCACCTTTTGCCCCCAGGAGCTGACAGGAATGAGATCCTATCTTTTTTCTGAGAGAAGTGGAGAGAGATAAGTGGTAGCAAAGTAATTAACTGACGTTCTTTGCTTTGCGCTGTGAGGAAGAGACTGTTGACTAACCTCTAGCCCAGTGGTCACCAACGTGGTACCCGTGGGCACCTGGTAGCCCGCATGGAGTCTCTGAGTCGCCCGCCAAGCACGTTCTATAAATAGCCTAAATTAGCGTCGGGCGATAAATGATATCATATCGAGATTATGATAACATTTATGTTAATAATGATGATAAGCTCTGGACATTTTTACTCAATATGGATTAATCACAACAGAAATAAATGTTACAGCAACCAGTCAGTGCATGTCGCTAATAAGTCTGCATGTTCTGTGTCTGTGTGAATGCGTGGAGTAGTTTCATCTGATACACAAACGCAAACACACGTGACTCGCGGTGTTTTCAGTGTCTGCGTCTCAATATATGAGGACATGAACACATGCACTTCATCTTCAGAGCTGCTCTGAGTCACTTCACCAGCTTTATGCCTTTTCATTTGAGAAAAAATAATGTCAAATACACGCTGAAACTAAAACTAAAACTGAAAAAGACCTTCACGACAAACCGTCAAAATAAAAGTCCGGTTTAACTTGAAATTATATGACTGAATATATTACTAACTGTATACTACAATGCAATTCTCAAAGTAAAAATGATATTATTATTTTTAAGGAATATCGTACAACCAAGTTATTTTTTATTATTATTAATTTATACAGTTCTGATGTTCAGCATCATGTCTGATAAAATAAGATCAAAAAATAAAAATGCAATGTTTTGTTGTAAATTGATTTTCATTTGATTACATTTTAAAAGATTGATTAAATTGTTAAAGTTTTATTAATTCATTTCACTAGACACCATTTTTTATGATAAATTTGTACTGAATCATAAAAAACGGAATCCATAAGAAATCAAATGGAAAACACAGAATTTTGGGGGAAATAAAATGCATTTTTGCATAAAATGCAAGATATCAAGATATTAGAGAGAGAGAGAGAGAGAAAAAAAAAATATATATATATATACCCCTGCTCTAGCCTTTTGTTTAGTCTTTTGCTTTGTTTAGCCTAGTCTTTAGCCAGGAAACTAAATTATTTTCCATGTTTGCTGAATAAAATCCAATACTTTTTTTCTTATTCATTTGGGGATTCTGTTTTGAAAAATTATTTTTTTCTCTCTCTCTCTCTCTCTCTCTCTCTCTCTCTCTCTCTAGCACATCGGTTTCTCACAAAATATGTGCATTTTGTAGCATTTTAGCTTTCAACATTCATTCATAAGGTGAGGAAGTCTTGTATTGTCCCTTGATCACCAGAAAACTGCCACAAAGACATGATTCCTGTCTTCCTCTGAGCCAGTTTACAACTATTTGTTCAATGCTCAGCCGATTTCCACATGTGAATTATTTCTAATGACATTATTTTATGCCTAATTATGCATAAAATAATGAATTATTACCAGTGACAGAAGAAAATGCAAACATGACCCCGATGTTTTCTGCTACATCTGTGGGTGTTTTACTACTGTACTGTAATGAAATTAACTCATTTGTAAGGGAATTAATTATTATTAATTCATTCAGGTTTTAAAAGGACTCGAATCTGAAAATTCTGAGTCAACCTGATTAAAGCTGAATTCAAATCTGATAGTTTACACTTTAAATCAAGGGTCGTCCAGCGAGCCGGTGATTCTTAGTATATTTTAACAATTTGAATATCTGTATTCTCCCTGGCCACGGGTTAATACGATTATAATAATTCGTAAGCTCTTAGAGGTTAACGTAATCTTTGGCAAAGGGTTTAACCTTGAAATTATATGACACGGATCACATCAGAGCAGACTCGTCCTGACTGGACTTGGCTGCCATATGAAAAACACAGCCTCAGTAATGTGCTCTTTTATTCCAGAGGAAACAAAGCCAAGTCCGTTTAAAGGAGATACGATCCCCTCCAGTGATCGGGCACTCTGTGTTTTTGTCCCACTCCATGTTGTCTTGAGGGCATGAGAAAGGCAGTGACATCCCTGTCTCTTTACCTGGAGCATCCTTTGCTCCAAGCAGACAGTTGCACATAAAAATATCCCCTCTGTCCCTCCCTCTGTGGCTATTCTTGATCCTCCCGCTCTTTCGCTTAATAATGAGAGACAAACAGCAGCAGAAGTAATGAGTGTCTCTTTGATTTCCGCTGCTGAGGTGCTCTGGGGTACATGCTTTGGTTCGACCCGCCTTAAGATAATTTCCTGGCCACCCTGATGTCATGTCACGTCACTCAACTTGTTGATTAATTCACTCATATTTATTTTTTTTAAGCATAGGGATGTCCCTTCTTCCTTCTGTCTTTTTCGAACTAGCAATGGCTTAGCAGCAACCGAGAAAATGCACATAGCATGTTCATAGCTAGATATGTACTCTTTGTATTCATGTTGCTTTCATAGTTTTGAAAAACGTACATATTATTTTCAGTGGGTTTACATTACCGTTCAAAATAGGTCGGTAAGGTTTTTTTTTTATGTTTTTGAAATAAGCCTCTTATACTAAAGACAAATTACTGTTTTCTATTTTAATATATTTTGAAATGTAATTCATGTAATTATTTTCAGCAGCCATTATTTCAGTATTCGGTGTCACATGATCCTTCAGAAATCATACTATGCTGATTTTGTAACATTATAAATGTCTTTACTGTCACTTTTGATGTATTTAATACATCCTTGCTGAATTGAATTCATGAATACATGAGTGTATGCAATGTAAGCATTTTTTTTTAAAAATTGTGAGGGAGGATGTATCACCCTGACATTTTTTCCCCCTGAAAAAATATTAACGTGAATTTTAATTCAGAAATTTAAAACGTACTCATCAGAGTTCAGGTCATTGTGTGTATGAATTGCATTTTTAAAGTATCTTTAAAGGGGTGGTTCACTGTTTTTTTTCTAGGCTTGATTGTGTTAATTCTTCGTTTTAAAAAAAACACATTATTTTTCACATAATTTACCTTTATTCTACACAGCTCTGTCCCTTCTTTGAGAAACGGGCTGATCTTTTCCTGTTTTTTATGAAGCCCCGCCCTCAGATATAGGCGATGGGCTATGATTGGTTAGCTAGCCCAGTGTGTTGTGATTGGCTAAACCGCCTCTAGTGCGCGTCTAAGCGTCCCGCCCCTCACCTCAGCGGCATGTGCTCCGGTTGTATTTTTACGGCTTTTCGTGTTTTCACTGTTATACACTAGGGGGCGCAATTACACATCTTCTGAACGAGTACAAAACCTCCCGAACAAAAACACATGTGTACAGGA